TGATATATTAAGTCTGCAGAAAGCTTCTATCCATTATTTAATGTTATGCATTTTTGCTAAAAAAAAAAAAAAGGTGATGCCCATCTTGCATTGGGATTCTCTTAGGCCACTCTTTGATTCATTTCAAGGTTCATTACAGTACTTAGATTTTTTTTTTTCATTGAGAACATTCATGTCTATGAGAGGAAGAGATATCTCTAATACCATTGGTATTGTTGTGGTTTAAAAAAAAAATAGGGATGTCCCGATACAACATTTTAACTTCCGATATTATACCAATGTTGCAGCCTTCAGTACTAACCGATACCGATACAAATCCGGTACAATAATCAGCACAAACGATGAATACTTTACTTTTACCTATTTCATGGAGTGGAATGTATGATCTTCTAGATCAAACTAAGAACAAAAGTCAGCAACAGTAAGTATGGAAGAAAACAACTAATTTATTAAGTATTGGTTGCATAAATGTGAATTATTTGCATAAGATTATATAAAAAAGAATTAAAGAATACATATTAGGACCCTGAAAAATATCTTAATTGAATAAACAAAAATATATTTTTAAAGTGCAAAATACTAATTAAAGGTCACTTCAGTTATTTATTTTATACCATCAGCAAATGGTAGAAACAGCTGAGAGCAGGAACATAAGAAAAAAAGTATTGTTAATTGAACAACTGCAAAAGGTTGAGTGTCTAAATTTTCAATTTCACACACAGCTTCTTGATGAATTTTTGATCCAGTTTCGAGCTGGAAAATATCTGTCACACTGGGCAGCAGAAATAAGGAGTTATTGTTATAAGTTTTTGTTAAGTAAATAAAAATGTGCAGAATGGTTAGTACAAACATTTACATGATCAGATCTACTTAATCTGTGTTTGTATCATAAGAAGATTATGGTTGTAACAATGTTCCCAAACAAACCATTATTAATTTTATAATAATATATATTGCACAAATTATCTTTAACATAAATATACTAGCAGTAGCTGGATTAAAACACACCTTTTTTCCACAGCACATAAAATAATGTGACTTTTAAGAATAATTTTATTTATCAAAATTCATTTTATTTGCATAATATATTGCACAGATTCCACCCTACTGCCCTCATGGGAAAGTACAACAATGTAAATAGAGACAGAACTGCAAACTCATGTGCAAAGCTGACACTGTTTATCAGAGCACTTTCTCTTTCTGGGCTTTTTAAAGAAGAGTTAAACATGGGAAAGCCTCTAATTAAATTTTCCTTCTGCCCAAAAGTAATGCAATCTAAATACCTACATTCTCACCTAAAAAAAGGCCTCAAAAGTACATTATGTTGTCCAACAGCTGCAATATTTTTCAAACTAATTAGTTTATTCATCTGCTGTCACACATTAACTAATAGCAGAAATAATCGTCCTACTAATCATTCTGATCATTACGTAGATACTGAAATGAGTATTTTTGTGTTTCAGTTGCTGACACCACAGATATAAAGAATGAATTTGTGTCTTCGAGAGAATCTCTTCCCACCATGTTTATAGCTTCTCCTAATGACAAGAAGGTCTCCATCTGGACTAAAAAGGTTCCTTCTGTGCAGGTTTGTAGATGTTCTTAATTACACTTTTTGACCAGTTATAATATTTGGTATATTATACAGAATACAAATATGACTGGTGTTGTCTCCTCCACCCAGATGCTCCAGCGGGCTGTCATGCTGGCAGCAGAGAGTCTGCGTGTTTTAGAGAATCAGCTTATTGACTCCAGCCAAAAACAGGACGTTCGGGTGAGTTCCTCAATATTCAACCTGGATTACGCTAATATAGGCAACTGTCAGCATTTTGAGCTCAATGTTTCCTTTCTTTGTTTCTAGGTGGTATTTCGTCCTCCTCTGGATGCTTATGATGTTCTGATCCACCTCATTCCACAGCAGGTTCCTCTGTTAGCTAAAGCTGTGGATGCTCCTGCCCTCAGTTTCCAGCAGGGCACCTTTAAAGGTGAACCAGCGACCTCAGGAGGAGCTCTGCCAGTCATAGACTACAATCCAGTCCAGCTTTATCTGTCTGAGCTCAGGGTTTGTGTGGCTTTCAATTCACTGTTTGCTCAGTGCTGTCACATTTTTTAGATACAAAATTCAATCCGATCAATCGTGTACCAATTATTAATTTCTATTTTTAAGGATGCATTTGGAGATTTGGCTCTGTTTTTCCATGACCCATTTGGTGGAACCGTGATCGCTGTGCTGTGGAAGCCAAATGCCTTCGAGCCACGACCTTTCAAGGTTCCTCAATTATATTTTTATCTTGTTTTTACTATTAATATAGTGTCTGAAGTTAAACTACTTCTATTATGCTGTATTATGTCTTTTTAATATAATTTAATTTTTTCGTTTTTTTATTCAAGTTTAATATTTTAATTTCCTTATACTATGTAATGTGGCTTGAGCTCTTTTCTCTCTGTGTCTGATATGATTTGTTCAATAATCTGTCTAAAACCTGCTTTTCCAATCATCTACTACTAAGACTAAATGAAATGGAACAGCTGCATGAATGGCAAACTATATGAAATCAACCCGAATATACATGAAAGACATTTTTCAAATTTTATTTTTGAGACCAGGGATGAACAGACCGTTTATACAAGATTACCAAATGCTGAACTGGTCACACTAGGTTGGCTCATTTGTGAGTTACTGAATAATAATGCTTTACCAACATGTAATTACTGACAAGCTGCTCTCACCATAGAACATATTGCATTCGAATGTGAACGTTTAACTGTCATTTTCTTTATAAAGAAAACACTTTGATGGGAAGAATTTGAAGTTACTTATTAAATATTGAATTAAAAATCATATGTAACTTTTAATAAACGTTTTTGTAAATTTTATTTATATATTTGTTTTTGTATCATCTCTTATTGAAATATGAAGTTGTTCTTATTATGTAATGTTTTTATGTATATTGATTTTGCCATGAAGTAGCCATAAGTTGCTAATGTTGGCAATAAATAAACAAACTGTCCAGAACATATCTGAAGTTCGTTCAGATCAGGATTTAGCTCAGTACTTTAAAAAAAAAAAAGTGATACAAACAACAAAGATTTGGCCAGTTTTAACATATCATGTCCTTATCTTTAGTAGTGAACACAAAGTGTCTCCTTGACATGCTGAAAATGCACACCAGAATTTTACATATTGTGAGCAACCAATGAAGAGCATTGACTGATCTGTTACAAACACCTTTTTTCTTTTGGGGGGTAATAACTCTTATCAATAACTTTAATCTTTGACATTTTCCAGATATTTTACATTCACAAACAGCGGTAATAAACATTACATAACAAGAAATGAAAAGTTAAGATGCAAAAACCTGAAAGTGCTTTGTGAAATTTTCTCAGCCTTCTTTTTTTGTTCTTTTCTTTCACTGTAAAGGCATAATACATCATTTTGAAAATAATTTTTGCTTCTAAACTCTTCAAATATCCCCCTTTAAAAACTTAAGTACACTTTAAGTGATTGTAATTACAGTTAAAGTTTTTACCACTTCTTGACTCTGTATTCTTTCTGTTGTCAGACATCTTTAATGAATGCCCGGCGTGTGGAAATGAACGGAGATGTGGCAACCGTGGTGCCAAACGTAGAGGCTATCCTGCAGGATTTCCGCATCATTGGGGAGGGACTCGTCAAAAAACTGGAATTACGGACAGAAAAATGGGTTGTCTAGGGTCTGGCAGTGTTTTCTGTAGAAACAGCTGTGCATCTGCAGTCTCTGTGTGTTTACTTGTAACATTAAATGTGCTCAATTCGCTTTGATTAAATTCTCAGCATCTGCCTTTTAACATTTTGTTTTATTGGTGTATTTTGATAACAGGATTTTTCCCTTTATACAATGAGTGTGAATTACTTTTCTGTGTAATTGAGACTGAATCCACCTCTGTAAAGAATGAAGCTGTTATATTATTCATCATAAATGAATGTCACAAGAATGTCATTATATCCCAGAATCATAATAAAATATGAATTTATGAATTAAATAAAAAAATGTCAGGATCATAAAAACAGAAATATGCTCATATTTTAGGACCATACTTTTTCCACTAGTACACTGTGGCATTATTGAGCCAAAACAAAGACACTGAGATGTTATAAGGTAAAAGTATGTTCGTTGAAACCTTGGTACCTTTTATTCTGAGACTATAGCACTGTCTGAGAGACTGGGATCATAAGTGTTCAACACATCTACTGCAAAATAGAAAGTGAACAAAACAATTGTGGCTGTATTTTCTCCATCTGAAATGTTTATATATATATATATATATACACACACACAAACACACACGATTCTCACCAAGGCTACATTTAAATACAAAGCTAATATTATAAAATAAAGGTTAATAACGCTTATATGATACAAAGTATTTGTTATTTTACTGAATGTAGTAATCACATTTAACATTTATTTATTTATATATATATATATATATATATATATATATATATATATATATTATTATTATATTATTATTATTTTTATTTATTTATTTTTTTAGATCAGTAAAATGATCAAGTTCAATAACCTGCTGAAAAAACAGCCTAAGCTGGTTAGCTGGCTTTAGCTGGTCGACCAGCCTGGTTTTAGAGAGGTTGGCCATTTCTAGGCTGGTTTCCAGACATTTTCTGGGAGATAATCAGCTAAAATCAACTTGACCAGTCTGGTTTAAGCTGGAAATAGCTAAGACCCCTCTAAAACGTGGCTGGTCCACCAGCTAACGAGCATAGGCTGATTTAAGCGGGGTTTATTTTTATTTTATTTATTTATTTTTTGTAGGGATGGCCTTTTTATAATTTAGTTAACCGTACAGTGCACTTACCAGACTCGTATATCCTAATTGACAGTTTTAGGGAACGTATGTAGTTATTACTCGGTATATTATGACAATGATACGTATAATATGGACATATTTTGCACAGCGTTTCACGCTTTATAGCAGTATCCGGTAGGTGGCGGTATGTATCTGATTGTTTACGGAAAAGGAAAACATGAGGTGACTGTATAAAGCAGAACTTGCAAAGTTTTTAAGAATAACTATATTAAATGATTCAAGTAAGCTCGTCCTTCTGTCATGTTTAATGTGCGGTAATAACACTAACATGACCGTTTCTCGCTTTCACAGCTGAAAACTTCATCGTTATAAGTAGTTTTTAAGGCTGCTAGCGTTTGGATGCACAAACATGCTCCGTGTGTTTGTGCTCTTGATTTTTAACGTGAACGCTTACTGCATGTATCTGAACTGGACATCACATGACAGACCAAACATAGTCATGATCATGTCTGACGCCTTCGTAAGTCTCTCGATTTATAAGTTATAATAAAACTGAAATTCTGGCTGTGTTTCAACAGAGAGCTGCCTAACTAATAAGCAGAATGTAACTTGTTTAAAGTTATTTCAGTATGTTTGTTTTCCTGTTTGTGAAGGATGGTAGGTTAACCTTTCAACCAGGCAATAAAGTTGTACAACTCCCTTACATCAACTATATGAGGGAATTGGGTTCTGTTTTTCTGAACTCATACACAAATTCACCCATCTGCTGTCCGTCCAGGGCAGGTATACGCTGCCTGTGTATAGTAATGTTTGTGTAACTACATACAAAACAGGATTAATCATCAGATAATCACGTTAATGTACTTCTGTGTTGGCAGCCATGTGGAGTGGACAGTTTGTGCATTTGACACAGTCCTGGAACAACAATAAATGTCTTCATCCCAATGCCACAACATGGATGGACGACTTAAGAAAGAGTGGTTACCACACTCATAGCATGGGGAAACTAGACTACACCTCTGGCCATCACTCTGTCAGGTGACGTTTATGTGGATCTGAATATATGTTAAAGGGATAGTTCAGCATGTCCTTAAAAATAAAAACTTCCTCAACATTTACTCACACTCAAGTGGTTTAAAAGTGTTTCTTCTGTTAAACAAAGCAATATATTCTGAAATAGGGAAATGGTGACTTAATGAATTTGTTGTCTACTTATTTAAAATGAGTTTAAACACAATTTATTTACATTTACACGTAAAATTATTTTTTAAAGAACTTTTATGTTCAATCCACTTAAATTAGTAAAAAAAATAATAATAAATAAATAAACATATATATATATATATATATATATATATATATATATATATATATATATATATATATATTTAATTTAATCGATTAGTGTTATGTCAATTGTGTGTGAAACCCAGCATTTTTTTTTCTTTTTACAATGTATGAACAAAAATACAAAGAACATCAATGGTTGTTTTTCTTCCGACATTTTTCAGTATATCTTCCTTTGTGTTCAACAGATGAAAGAAACTTAAACAGGTTTGGTTCAAGTTGAGGATGAATAAATGATGGCAGAACTTTTTTTTTTGGTGAACTATCCCTTTAACTTTCTCTCTCTCACACACACATACATACATAGATGTCTCTTATCCTAAAGGCTACATTTATTTTATCAGAAGAAAAAGTTAAAGTATTGTTGTTAAAGGTTTTTTCTTTTCTGTTGATTTAATGTAATATGTCACACTGCAAAATAAATGTTTTTCTTACTTGGATTTTTGTCTTGTTTTTAGTCCAAGAATCTATAAGCATTTTCTAGATAAGCAGTGTGGTTGATGAGTAGAACATGTTACAACAAAGTTATAAACACAATGCAAAAAAATCTTACTGTCTTATTTCGTATCCAAATAGCTAAAATTCTTAAATCAAGAAGAAATTTTCTGCACAAGTAAAAAAAAAAATTGTCTCATTTTCAGAGATTTTCCTATAAAAGTAATGTTTTGTCAAAGTAAAAACAAGATTATTTTGCTTGGTTTAAAGAAATACTCACTAGATTTTGACTACATGTTTCTGAAAATAAGACAATAATATAATACCTCCTGATTTAAGAATTTTTTAATATATTTGGACTAGAACAAGACAAAAACTCCGAGCAAGAAAAGCATTTCTTGCAGTGCATTTTTTTCTGTGATGGCAAAGCAGAATTTAGTGTCACACAATCCTTGGGAAATAGCTGTAATATGATCATTTGCTGTGGAAACTTTAATTTATTTTATATCAATGTTAAAAAGTGTTGTGATACATAACATTATTTTATATATTTGACACATTGATTTATTCATCTTTAATGGATAGAAAGTTCAAAAGAACAAAATTCATATGAGATGGAAATCTTTTGTAACATTATAAATGTCTTTACTGTAGTCAATGAGCATGTACAATGACAGTAAGTCATTCTTCCAAAAAAAGGTTGTTCATTGTTCATGAGTGGAGGGAGTGCAGGGGGGCTTCTCCTAAAGTCCATCATCATCTCCACTGTTTTGAGCGTGTTCAGCGTGTTTATCTGCATCATAAAGCCAGCTGCTCCACCTCCTGTCTGTTTGCAGGCTCGTCACCGTTTCGGATGAGGCTGTTAATAGTAGTGTCGTCCTCAAACTTTAGGAGCTTGATGGTGGGATCTTTTGCGATGCAGTCGTTGGTGAACAGGGAGACAAGCAGTGGGGAAAGAACACATCCCTGGTGGCCACCAGTGCTGATGGTGCAGCTGTCGAATGTGATTTAGCTCTAATCCTTTTATATTTTACTGTTCTTTAAATCTTTAACATAGTCCACATGTCTTTGAACTGTGGGGAAAACCAGAGCACCCGGAGGAAACTAGCAAGAAAGAGCATGCAAACTTCACAAAGAAGGGCCTCCTGGTCCAGCCGAGACTCGAACATGTTTTTCTTGTAAAACAGCAATGCTGCTAACCACTTATTGATGCCATCATGCCACCCTTTTCTCTGTTTTGTCAACTTTGATCTAACACTAACAATCCATTTTTTTATTTTCCGTTTTCAAGAAACAAAAACACATAATTCCCCCTTCTGGATTGGATGTCGCTTTAGATAAAAACATAGGTCACAGTTAAATGATTAAATTCAGTGAAATAAAATTTTATAAATACATAACCGTACATATAAATAAATAACTGGTAGGACATTATTGCATCAGACAACCGTCGAAAAAAGTATCTTGACACTCTTGAATCTTGAATCTCCTGAAACTCTTTCAGTAATCGAGTGGAGGCCTGGACCAGGGATGTTCCTTTCCTGCTGAGACAGGAAGGCCGTCCGGTCACAGATCTTGTGGGTGATGCGTCCACAAAGAGGGTGATGATTAAAGACTGGACCATCACTGATGCTGCTGTCCAGTGGATACGAAACACTACAGCATCTCTCACGCAGCCGTTTGCACTGTACCTGGGGCTGAATCTTCCCCATCCATACCGCACCGACTCACTGGGACCCACAGCAGGAGGCTCTACTTTCCGAACCTCCCCGTATTGGCTAAACAAGGCAGGTTGCTCTTCCTATAGTAGAATTAAGCACTGTTAAAATAAAAAAGTTTACTCAATGTCAAATTGTAAGGCAACTTAAGTACTGTGGTTAACTGAAGCACATTGCCTTACAATTTGAAATTTGTCATTTTTTTACGGTGAAGGCATAGCTCACCCACAAATAAAAGTTCTATCTTTATTATAAAGTTTCAAATACTGAAGATATTTTGAAAAAGATTGGTAAGCAAACACCCTCTGGTACCTGTTGACCTTCTTAGATATAGGACTCAATTAGTTTGATCAGGTGTTTAATAAGGGTTTAAACTTAACTGTGCAGAGCTGCGGCCCTCCAGAAACTGAGTTTGACACCTGTGCTTTGAAACATTATATTTGAATCTAAAGAATCTGAAGGAGTAAAACACACTGTCAACTTTGTTGTTGAACAATCTGTTTTGTGGATTAATATTTTAACATTTCCTCAAATGGGCAAGCAGGAATGCCATAAAGAAATTTGATACATTGCAATATGTGCAAATTACATATATGACATACAAGTTCATGTCTGGATTTCACATGTATATTATATATAGCATATATCCAGCATATATTTCAAAATGTAGCAATCATTATGATTTACCTATGCTTTTTTTCAACCATTGGAATTACAAATATGTTCATATATATGGCAATATATCAGATTTATGTTTGAGATAAAACCATTCCATAATCTAGTTATTAAATCACTCTTATTTTACACTTTATTATTTGTGTGGCATTTTTCTACATTTTTGCTGTTTTTAATTAACAACTATTTTTCATTAAGTGTAATAAAGTTGGAATAAAGTAAAACATAAATATTAGATGAGAAATTTAAACCATAAATTATACATATTAGAAATGTTGCAACTATCTTCGCAATCTTGGCAACTAACTGAAAAATGTGGAGCACTAGTGTTACTGAAATGAAATAAAATGAAATGAAATAAGAGTGACAAATATTTTAAAAACTAATACAATTGGACAAAAAAGCCCTATACTAAAATAAAAAAATAAATAAATAAAGCTAATTGTATTAGTTATAAATGTATTAGTTTTAAATATATATGCTGAAATAGTATTAAATTAACACTGAAATAAAACTACTTTTATTATATTTATATATTGTGTTGTTAGTTATCACAGATTTTGTCCACCTGGTTTATTGAAGTCCATTTTTTAAAGGATCTTTAAAAATGGGATTTCAACTTACATTACCTCTTAAAGTTTTAAGAATGATGACTTTCTTTATTACAGTTTAAAGTCTTTAATCAAATTTTCAGAATTGTGAGATGTTAATTTTTAAATTCATAGTTTGAAATTCTTAGCAAAAGATTGCAAAATCTTAACTTAGTGTTCTGAGAAGAAAAGATGGTATTGTGAAATGTTAACTTGAGATTGTGAGAAAGGGGATGATTCATCATTTTTATTACATACTTCCATTAATTCCAGTATCTTCACTAATATCTCACTTTCTCTCAAAGGTTTCTTACAATCAAGTGTCTGTTCCAAAGTGGCTGCGGTTTGAAGATATGCACCCTGTGGATTACTACTCCACCGTCACTAAAAATTGCAGTGGCCACTTCACAGAAGAAGAGATCAGAAACATAAGAGCCTTTTATTATGCAATGTGTGCTGAAACAGACGGCATGTTGGGTGAGGAGCCAGAGCATGTCTAAGTGCTGTTTTGTCTGAGTTTGATGTGATGACGTACAATCATTGTGTGTCTGCAGGTGAAGTAATGGCGGCTCTCAGAGACACTGGCTCGCTGAACAAGACAGTCGTTCTTTTCACGTCAGATCACGGCGATCTAGCCATGGAACACAGGCAGTTTTATAAGATGTCCATGTTTGAGGGCAGCTCTCATGTTCCTCTACTTATAATGGGCCCAGGAGTGAAGTCTGGCTTTGAAGTCAGTCTACCGGTGTCACTGGTGGATATATATCCTACTGTGCTTGGTAAGAGTGACATTAGTACTAGTATTAATATAATATATTGTTATATATGTGACATTTTTCAGCAGTGATGGTTTCCCATGTGATTTTTTTTCCCATAAAGTTTTTGTTTAAAGGGTTAGTTCATTCAAAAATGAAAATTCTGTTATTAAATACGCACCCTCTTGTCGTTCCAAACTCATGAGAAAATTAGTTCATCTTTGCCACACAAATTAAGATACTTTAGATGAAATCAAAGAGTTTGCCTCATCTTTCCTCAGACTTAAATGGACCTGAAAAGTCTAGAAAAGGAAACTTCAGACTTCAGTAGTTGAACTATAATCACATAAGAACACTTTTTATACACCAAAAAAGCTGTGAAAATCAATTTTTTTACCAATGCCCTCTGTATCAGATGCACTTCTACTTTGGGCTGATGACGCTAATAGCAATACATCATACTGCCTGTAGTGAACAGCACCCTGATTATAATATTACAGATTATATTACCCATTTTTACATGCCAGTGTTTAATGAGCCTTTGTCAAGTGTGTTTTTTACCCACACTCAAAATGGTCGTTTGTTTTTACACATGCAAGTGCACACATTTTAAGTGAGGAGTGAAAGCAAACACACAGTGAACACATTCTCGGAGCAGTGGGCAGCTATTGCTTCCAGCACCCTTGGAGCAACTCAGCAGCACCTCAGAGAAGTATTGAAGATGGAGAGTGAGGTTCGTTCACTCCTCCTATCTTCAATTCCTGCCAGGACCAGGAAAACAAATTTACTAAGCCACACCTGCACTGTAACAAAAGATTCTCTCGGCTAGGTGCTTTTTCTTTCTTTCTCAAAATTTCAAGCAGGTTTTCTCTCACTGAGGAGAGGATTTGAATCTGTTCACTCTGACATAAAACCAAGATTATTGAAGCATTGCAGTGATTTTCCCTCATTTTCTAAAATGATCGTGGAGCTTAGCCAGTTTGCCAGGAAGTGGTTGTTCTAGTACTTCCTATTCCCAAAATCAGTTTCTTAACAGATTCCTCTGCATTACAGGCTGTTTCTATGACTGAATGTTTTTTTTTAGACGATACAGATTTTACCTGTACTTTATGTTAACAGGTGTGTGCCTTTCTAAATCTTCATTCATTCTTTAATTTTCCTTCGGCTTAGTGTCTTTATTCATCAGAAATGACAGTGGAATGAACCGCCAACTTCTCCAGCATATGTTTTATACAGTGGATGGCCTTTCAGCTGTAACCCAGTTCTGGGAAACACCCATACACTCTCACGTTCACACACACATACACTATGGCCGATTTAGTTGATTCAATTCACTTACAGTATATATGTTTGGACTGTGGGGGAAACCGGATTGCCACCAATTTAGTCACATCAAAGTGGCAAAACATATCAAAGATTATTTAGGGAAACTGAGTATTCTGAAATGGAAACCTGAGCTCTTTTTAATGCCTCAGAAAAATTAAGTAGTATGAACACTTTTGCAAGTCACTGCAAATGCGTTTTTTTTACTCGAATCCCACTAATCAGAGCTGATGTTCCAAAGGAAAATGATGGGTAAAAAAGATTTTGACCAAAATTTTAAAATTCAGCCAAATTGTATAACTATTATACTCTTACACAAAACAAACACTGACAAAAATGCTGCTCAAAAACAAACTATTTGCAAGGATTTAAACAAGAAAATTGAAATTAATCGATAAATAATACCGATAAATATCATGATATAGTACAATTTCTGTACAGTCAATCAGTTATTAGTTTATATATATATATATATTGACCATGAGTAAAGGACTTTCTTTTTCATATTTTAAAGTATATACTCAGAAATATACTCCTACATGTGATCATATTTCTCCATTAGTTTAGAACTTCAGGCCAAATGTTTGGCTGAAAATATAGAAATATAAAATGCATTTGAATGAAACATATAACCGTTTTCAAAAATGAATGCATAAAGGTGCAACTTGAAAACAAAAAAGCTAAATAAAATGCAAAATGTAAACTGCATTTTCAAGATTGCAACTTTCTCAATGCGGTTATTAATGTTTCTGTCTGCATCCTCGTAATGGTGTTTTTTCGCTCATGTAAATCATAAAAAAGTATTCACTTAAACAACGTATTTTGTGACACCGCAAAACAAATGATAGAGCATAACATGAAACAACACTTTTTATTTTGTTCACAGAGCTATAAGAAATTATACAATTTTATCAACATTATGCTCTCAAAAAGGTCTGAATAAAAACTTTTCAAAATCCTTTTTATTTTTTTATGCAATTATTTGTTTGTTTTTATGAATTATGACCTGGCAATATCATCTGTTTCCATCTGCTTTGTGTGTTTTTGTTAGATCTTGCTGGTGTCCCACAGACAGGGGGCCTCAGTGGTCACTCGCTGATCCCTCTGATATCTCAAGTCAGCATTCATTCAGCTGAGCCTCATCCTGCCTGGGCGTTCAGTGAATATCATGGTTGCAATGCCAACACCTCCACTTATATGCTGAGAATTGCTGAGTGGAAGTATATCGCATATGCAGATGGCTTGATTGTTCCTCCGCAGCTCTTCAGTGAGTTTTATCTGCTGAAATTTGCTCATAATATTGTGCTCAACAAGGATCTGATGTCCATGTTATGATTTATACAGATGAAGTCCAAACTTTTAGCCCTTTTTTTAATATTTCCCAAGTGCTGTTTAATGCAGAGATGTTTTTCAACACATTTTTCTAATGCAATAGTTTTAAAGGGAACTTATTATGCCCCTGTTTACAAGATGTAAAATAAGATGTCCCTAGAGTGTGTGTATGTGAAGTTTTAGCTCAAAATACCTGACAAATAATGTTTTATAACTCTTTGAGACTGTCCCTTTTAGGCTTTGATCCAAATTGTGCTGTTTTGGGGACTGTCACTTTAAAGGGGTGGTCCACTATGATATCATATTTTTTAAACTTTAGTTGATGTGTAATGTAGCTGTGTGGACATAAACACCATCTTTGAATGTAATAAACTCAAAACTTAAAGTTTAATGCAAAGGGAGACATTGGCTTTTACAGAGTTAGCTTAGCAAAGCCTACAGCGAGTTTGGGTCTACAAAAAAAATACAACCTGGTTAGTGAGATCACAAATGCTTCAGATTACGCGCAATCACCATGCGCAATCCCCCCTGAGCAGTGAAGGGGCGTGGTCAGAGGTTCTGTAATCTTATAGCGGAGAAAGCTAAAATGCCATCCAAATGCTGCTATTTCCACAGAGCTTGTATTGTTTCTGTATTTGGGCTTCTAAAGGACACGACACAAAGAGAGAAGTGCTTACAATTTAGTGCTTATTAATTATGTTCCAGAGAATTAAAAAATATATATAGCTCTAGCATTTGACAAAGGACAGCTTCCAGAATCTCTCCCAGTTTAGTGCTGGATTCAGCTAAAACTCCTTAAAGGAGGAGCAGCTCCAACCATAGTAAATAAGCTGTGGATTGTAAGCCACAACCTGTAAGTATTTTTATTTGTTAAAATTGATCAACTACATGCATAGTTTCTAGCACTAACGGTATGTTGTAGCAAGGATATAAACAAAGATGCAAACAATGTGAAATGCTGTTTGGCACTGTTAACAAGTAGGCTGTAGGGGAATTACCAACCTACGTCACATGGGTTCAACCGTGCATACCAGTTGCAAAATAAGACCGGTTACAATAGCAAACATGTTGTGTTGTGCGGTAGGATGTCAAAATCGAAAGTCTAAAAATAGAAAACCTAAATTTTACCATACACTATACTGCTTTTTATGCCAACCGCAGACATCTCTGGCTGACAGCCATCAGAAGAGCTGAATGGAGTGAGGACTTAATTAAAAATGCTCGACTCTGCAGTCTGCATGCAATGCTGAATCATACACATTACCTGTTTTGTTGCAGCAATGATTTCAGCAAAAACAGTTAAATATGGTGAATTAAACTGCGGACACCGAATGCTTAGAATGAAATGTAAAAATCTAAATTCACATACCCTGCCGTACAGGTGCAGTTCGCCCTCAAAATGCATTGTTTTGTTTGCTGATGATTACCCGTTCCATTTTCTTTCCTTGAATTTGGCAAGGCAGAACCTCGGTTTTTAGCACAACATAGTTTTAAATCTGGTAATAATCATATAGCATTATTTCTTGCACATGACCACACAGAACAAAATTGTTGGCATACAAAGACTTGTAGGCTTTTAACTTCTCTCTTGTAAAAACACTTGGAGTGTCAATGAAATAGTTGTATATTTTAGGCTGGATGCTTGGCCATTACGTCTTATCCAATATCTATTGGGAGGTGGCTATTGCAAATGGACCTGTCAGATGAACGCCGCTCACTTTACTGTCAATTTTGTCAAATAACTGTGCTTATCACTGGGTGACAAGCTGTTATAATACGCTGAAAGCATTATGCAAATAATATATATAATATGTAATCAATATAACTTATCTCTTTACAACAACAAACTCTGAACCGCATCGGATGTCACTGTAAATGCTAGCACTCCAGTTTTTTATTTATTTATTTATTTTCTGCAACCTCCATGCACGCACATCCTGAATGTTTACAAACTGGTAATTTGTCTATTGATTCATATTTATCCATCAAACCGCTGTAAACACTCACAATCTTTTCTAGCGCTGCTGTGTATCTTTATGCAGAGGCTTTCTCTGCATTCTACATCTCAAATATTGAACTCGCAAAAGATATGTGACAGATATGCGTTTCATATAACTTACAAATGACTATAACCCGAATATATGTGAAAGACACTTTTATTTTAGAGGGCAGTGTGAGTTTCATCTTTGTCCTCTTCATTTTCTTTCTGATTCAGGCTCAAACTGATATGGCATATCAGTGATATGATAACAGCTACCCTGACTAGTAAAGGTGTGACGCTTTTTCTGGTGACATGGAGCCGTGACTAATCAGTGGGCCTTTAGAGGAACTAGGAAATATACATGTTTTTATGTTAGCTGAGTAGCTGTATTAAAGATACATGAAAAAAACATGTTTTTTATATAAATGAAGCATAAGCACACATTGCTTTGCATCTTATAAACACAACCAAGCTTTAAAAATATATTCTGGACCACCCCTTTAAATTCAATGAGATTGTGCTTATTTCAAAATAAGGCAGAGCTAAAAATGCCTATGTGTCAGCATAGTGGCAGATTCAAACTCTAATAGCCAACAGCTGCTTCTCAATCAGGGCTGTTTATGCTAATGAGATAGAGATACTAGTCACTAGTGGGCAGGGCATCTGATGACACCTACAAAAGGAGAATGTCAATCAAAGTGTTTTTTTTATCAAGTGTGATTATAAACAATAGAATTAGTGAATATTTTCCTTTAGAGACCTGACATATTCAATGACTGTTACCACACAACTGTGTTTAAACTCTTTATAAAAGTGATTTTTGTATAGTAGGTCCCCTTTAATAACTAACTTCTAATAATTATTTTACTTTGTCTTTGCCATGATGACAGTACATAATATTTTACCAGACAGCTTAAAGTTTAATTTAATGGCTTAACTAGGTTAATTAGGGAAGTCATTGGACAATAGTGGTTTATATCTTAAGATTATATCTTAAGGGGGCTAATGATATTAAGTAAAAAAAAAAAATCTAAAAATGTAAAACTGCTTTTATTCTAATCAAAATAAAACAAATAAGACTTTTCTAGAAGAAAAATTATTTTAGGAAAATCTGTGAAAATTTCCTTGTTCTGTTAAACATCATTTGGGAAATATTTGAAAAAGAATACAACAATTACCAGAGGGCTTAACATTTTTCCTTATATCACAACTGTCCTAATTTATTGGCTTTGCATTTTCTCTCCTACAGACTTGTCCAAAGATGAGTCAGAATTGAGAAACGTTGCATCACAATTCCCTGATGTTTGTCAGGATTTGGACAAGTTGCTACGATCTATTGTGGATTACCCCAGTGTTTCAAAATCTGTTCACCGCTACAACAAGCAGCAGTTTCTGGAATGGAAGCAAAGTCTGGGGGACAGTTACTCTCAGGTCATAGCCAGCCTACGATGGCATATTGACTGGCAAAAAGATGCCAAGTCTTATGAGAGAGATATTGATGAGTGGCTGTTAGGGTTGGACTGAACATCCGTTTTTTTGTCTTTTCGTGATCAGAAAAAAATAAGAGACAATTTCTGTTTCTGTTTGAAACTAATCAACAATGAGTACATTTACATGGACACCAATAATCAGATTTTAATGCGATTATGAGAATACTCTAATTAAGAGTCTACAATGTAAACAGATTCATTTAATCCGATTAGGGTCATTATCGAACTAAACAGAAATTGGATTAAGACATGTGGAGTATGCTGATTTTTGTGGCAGTATAGACTAGCACTAACTATTACCGTCATGTAGGATTTTCACCGCATATTTCAACAGGATAGTCTACACACGACTGTTTGATACTATTCTCTGCACCTACCGAATCAGTGAAGGACCACAGACACCTGAGATTTTTTTTGTCCCATTTGGCGTGCAGTATCAAATTCCATTAAAACAACACTCTTCCAGCAGTTCATACTTCCATCCAATATCTCGTTTGTCACAAGGATACTCACTTGAAATGTTCCTGAAAAAAAGTGATAGAGCCAAACTGGACAAAATAATTATAAAAACACTTTGAAATTACATGAAACTTCGGAGGAAATGCGGATAGTGTGATGATGCAATGTCGTTAATCAAATTAAGTGCTATAACATGTAAAATGAGATCATGCAAGGAACATTCAAAAAGCAACACTTGTAAACACCTTAATCATATTATTGTCTTATTCAGGTAAAGGCAAATCATTCCATTACTAATATCCATGTAAACAAATATTCACTGTGGTCTGGTTTGCTACCCAGACAGTGTACTTGAAGCACAGTTTGCATCACATAAGGCTTAGGATAATGTCTGTGGTTGCTTAATTAGTTGCGCTTTACTTGTGAAATTACATTTCAAGATGTGATTTATCATGTTTCTAAAGATATTAATTTAATTATTTAAATAAATGCTCAACCCTTAGAACAATTAGTCTTTTACAGTTATTTTATATCTTAAGTATCAAGTCAACAGAGATAAATTCATGAATTTTAAAAGCAGCAGAGGTTGACAAAATGCTGAAAACACTTAGAAACTAGAAAAATTACTGTACTATGAAAAATACTGTACACTACAAATAAATAAAATAAAAAATACATAAAAAATTTAATAATGTAATTTGACTAATAAATTGTGAATATAAATGATGCAAAATAGGCTTAATTTTCTTTGTGCATATATATATATATATATATATATATATATATATATATATATATATATATATATATACATACACTGTATAGAGAGAGAGAGAGAGATTTATATATATATATATATATATATATATATATATATATATATATATATATATATATATATATATATATATATATATATATATATATATATATATATTTCCCAGAGATGTGTTGAGGCTGGAAGGGCATCCGCTGCGTAAAAACTTGCTGGATAAGTTGGCGGTTCATTCTGCTGTGGCGACCCCGGATTTATAAAGGGACTAAGCCGACAAGAAAATGAATGAATGAATGAATGAATATATATACTGTATAGAGAGAGAGAGAAAGAGAGAGAGAGAGATTTATATATATATATATATATATATATATATATATATATATATATATATATATATATATATATATATATATATATATATATATATATATATATATATGTATTTTTTTTCCTTTTCTTTATTTAAAAAAAATATTGTTGTTTATTTTATTTTGGGATGAAATATGACCAGACACAAAATAAACTTTATTTTATTGTGGCAAAATGAAATTAAAAACATGAAATACAAAATTCTAAAATTATTTTATTATTGCAAAATAAAAAGGAAATACAAAATTATAAAAGAAAATGTGCAAAAAAATTACCTTAATTTTCTTAGTGCTCAAAAATGCTATTTCTGCTATGACAACTACTAATAGTATTATTTAGAATCAATGTTATGCCCAGTTGTCAACTTTGTTTTAAAAATGTTTTATTTGGTTTTCTTACATTCAACAGGTCATTATACAATTTTTGATCAATTTAATTGTATTTTTGATCAATTTATTACTTTTGTTGGCAAGATTCAGTGTACACAAAAGCAGGTACATTGATTATTATTTATTATTTTGAAATCAGAATTTAAGCTTTATATAAACACTTATTATAATCTGACAAATAAGAAAGCTGTTAAGTGATTTAATGTATGCAAACATTTACTTTTTTTTCTTTTTCTTGTTTGTTATCATCTCCTGGCTTTTGTAAATTGTTAAATTTTAATTGTTTGGTAAAAAATAAAAAAGAAGAGGTAAATTTGAAAAAAAATATATATTGTTATTATTATTAATTTTATTACTATTAATGTCTTATGTTTAGATGTTTAGATTTACTTTTATTATTATTATTATTATTATTATTATGAATAATAATAATAATGTCTTATTTTTAAATGTTTAGATTTACTTTTATTATTATTATTATTATTATCATTTATTTATTTATTTATTTATTTATTTATTTATGTATTTATTTAATGCAAACCTAAAGATGATCAACAAGTGGAGGTGATTAGGATTATGGTTAGAAGAAGATTCTATGTAGGGTTAGATGAAGATTGTGATAAAGATATGTAATTCTTCTAACTACCGAAAGGGGGTGATATTGAAAAGCCCAAACTTTAAAACCCAGAAGATAAACCTGAAAAGTGTGTGCGTGCAGGCGACAACAGCCACGGAATCACAAAACAACATTGTATTTTGCAGGAGACGTGCAGTGTTGAGGTTTTACTACAATCGCAGCACAGGTCACGTGACTGGTCATTGTTTTGGAGGTAAGATCAAACGTGGACTTTCGACAAACTCGATCGATACACTGAACTTTCCGCTGCATGTCGTCATTAGTTTGATCAGATGTTGATACGGCAGTAGGATGGGCTATCGCACCTGGCACTGTTTACATCAGACCGTGAGCGATTTTCGAGTTAGTGTTTTGGCTATCTAAACTCTCAAACGATCTAGACATATTAGGAACACGACTATCGCGGAGTTTTTCCCTCAGTTTTCCTGATGTCAGACTGCAGTTCCTCGGGTTCAGATGAGGATTTGGACCCGGAGTCTGAGCTGCTAGACGAGCTCGGCGGCAAACTCAGTAAGGTAAGTTAAGAAACACGAGACTACTGTAAAACAATACACCTTTACAACGTTCACTAGTGTGAAACTGTGTGTTGCAGATATTAAAGTTAGTTAACTTACTTTCGTTTGCTAATGTGTGGCTGAAGCGTCGCAGCCTGCTGGAAGTTTTTTTTCGCACCAATACAATCAAACACACGGGCGATGCCTGAACGGTAAATAAAATGACTTCTGAAAAGAATCGTTTCTGTGAATCAGGTGAATTATAGTGACTGTTGATGTAAAACAAATCGTAACTGATTCAATTCGAGCGGTCCTTGAGTCTCACATATCCTTGCTTTTGCTTCAGTATTTTATTAAAACTTCAGAGGCAAGAAATGTGAATGGATTCACAGCTGAAAAAATCAAAAACAGTAGAAGCCTCACAGAATTTTCACAACAAACCATTACAATTTGATAGCTTCATTCTTTCATATAATATCCATGTATATCATTGTTTTTTTATTTATTTATTTCAAATTTACTTTTTGAAGGTTTATTTATTTATTTATTTATTTATTTATTTATTTAGATGAGTTGTGTTTAAACGAATGGCCTTTATAAAAATGTCATAAGTATAGACTATATGTGTTTCTTTATTTGAATCTCAAAATATGCAAATTACATTTTGGAATGCAACTACAAAACTTAACTAAATATCCTTCCTAATAATCCTACTATAAATTGTATATTCAAGCTCATGTGTGTCATTAAAATGCATCTATTTGCTATTTTGAAGCATACTGTAGTTCAACAAAGCACGGAAATTGGCTGTTTATTTACACACACTTTTAGGCATTCCCCCTCACTTTTCACACTTACCCCTTTACATAATAAAACCATATATTAAGGTTTTTATTTAAAATGTTGGTCCTTGGTGATTCATAAAATGTAAGTCAATGGCTTCTAGGTCTGCACAGTGTATTTTAATGAGCATGGATATCACATTGTGTGTATCCACAATATTCACATCGCAGGATTAAATTATTTATTAAAGCTCAAAAGATAACAACATTGTTAAATATTATTATTTTAAAATATTTTTTACAATGATGACCATGTTATTTCAGGTTTGATTGTTTAATTTCTGTACCTTAATACTGTTAGATTGTTGTTAGAAACCATCAAGCACTGATATTTCACATTTATCTTTGCTCTGTTGTGTTTACACATGCTTGTAATGCACTAAAAATTATGCAAACGCACTGCATAGAAAAGATTTGATCATCCTAATCTATCTAAATGAATGCAATCTTTCCAAATGGCTGTTTAAATCATCTGGAGAAATTATTTTCATGTCACAGAATATAATATATCGCAATGTCCGATTTTTCCAGTATCGTGCAGCCCTTATGGTTACCATCACTTTAACAAGTAAAAAAAAAAAAAAAACTAGCCTATGAAGGCAAAACAAAAGTAATACATGTGACTCCTGATCATATTTTAATTTTTATGGATTTAAAATAAATGTGCATTATTTAACAATATTTATTTTTGTTATTCCCTTTAATCCACATTGCACAAGCTTTCTTTTACACAAATATTTCTATCAAATTTGAGCCTAATACTAAATTGAGAATGAATGTGTTTTTATTTTGAAATAAGATCTGATTGCGTTAAATTAACAAAAAGTTAGATTAATAATAGAAGACTAACTCATTCTTGTTTACTGAAAGGGTAAGGGAAACCAATTTGTGATTTATGTAAGAATGTAAAACATTTAAATAGAATGTCCATTTTAAAATAAGTATTTTTTTTTTTTATTCAGAAAATGTATTAATAGATGTGTTTAAAGTTTCTCTTGAAACAAAATTAGAATGCTTATGTTTTTTTGTTTGTCAAAGTTCAATTTTGATAATATATTGTATGAATGATTAATTTGAACTGTTTATGCCATGAATTTAGCCATTGTTGCTGACATAAATCATTAAATCAGTAGTTCCATGCTTTTGCATGTGTTGTGAGAAAATGCAGTGCGTTCTCTCTCTTTTTTATTTATTTATTTTTTTTGCATTTTGAGAATTTGCAAACTGATAAAAAAATCACTTTTCCTAATTTGCTGGGGTTTTTTTGTAATTGCATGTGTTTTCTTAAATTGCAGCATGATAAGCTCTCTAGGCCTCCCTAGGAAAGGGTAGGAATAGGAAATATAATTAGTATAGGGCCTAGATGTTTTCATCCAAAGTTGTGAATTTAACATGTTCAAAAAAATAAACAGCTTTTATCCGATGTGTTGTAGAACAAAATCATAAATTGATGGAAATCTATCACAAATAATTACTATATTATTAATCTTACCTTTATTTCAGTAATAGAAATGGAAAGAAATGCTAGTGGGAAAACCACTGTAGCTCTACTTTTTTTTATTTTGCTAACCCTTTTTCCTGCCAGTACAACAAATTTTTATTTGAGGACACTTGTTTGCGTCTACCAGTTTGTAAAGCTGATAAACAGTGATATTCTTTTGTAAATGAGATGCGTTGCTAAATGCAAAACACAAAACCGCATTTGAAAGAAAAGATCTGGAAGGTGTTGAACCAGCAGTGTGCTTTACAAGAACACTGACCAGCTCTGTGGAGTCATTGAGAAATGCTTGAGTTAATTACAGAGCTCTCCAATACTAACCACTTATTAAACTAGTTTAAAGCCTAAAGACTTTTAGACTAGTTTTAACATTCTCCACAGCACTGAAGCAGAAAACTGGTGAAACGTGCAAATACAATTAGGTCAGAAGCCTTTTTTTAAACTAATATAAATAGTATGAATAACATTTTAATTAAACTTTGGGAATCTTTGAAAGATCACATG